GTACACTAAAACTAATATAATGTCCTATGCCAATTATATTTCAATTAAAAAAATTTTTTTAAACTGCTTCCAGTACTGTGCTTTACAAATATGATTGTGCTTTCCTCCCAAATCCTGGGAAATAATTATGAAAAAAGATAGCATTTCCTTAATTCTCAGAAAAAAATATTGATTTTAAAAAGCCAGCATTATTTAAAACATGGGAGCAGACTCTAACTATATTTCTGCATATCCTTTACCTTCTTCTCAGAGTAGAAGGTATTATGCTGGGGACAAGGATGGGAAAGAGAAAGATCACAATTTTTTTCTTGCTCATGTATATAAGGGAAGTTAGTTACTAAGCCTCCTCCACTAAGATTACATTCCCAGTTACTGCTACAGCAACATCTGATCTGAAGCCAATGGACAGAACGATATTGTTTTCTGAATAAAAAATAAATATTTTATAAAAACTGAGACCCTAAATGTGTCTAGGTTGAAGAGTTTCTTAAAATAGCTTATTTGCTATTACACAATTTTTGTATATTTTATATAACATTGCTATACTGGTGTATACTGGGCTTCCATGCATTATAACTCTTGAGAATTTTTCAAAGGAACAAGTTTACCTGCCCTTTTTATCAACACTATAGCCTGCTTCTTTTTGGCTTCCCCTGTGTGACCACACCACCAATATGCCTGGTCTCCATGTGGATGGTAATGAATCATTTGTGTTGCTTCTCTCTAGGTGTATTATCTCTGCTTAATTTTTGAAAATTACAACTTTTTAAAATTATTCTTCTGTGCATTCTTTCTAGGGTCTCAAATCCTCCAGATTTGAGGCCTAGCACCCAGAAGGTGCTCAATTAATGTTTATTGAATGAATGAATTGATTGATGAATGTTGACTTTAGATTTATACATACAATTCTTTTCAGGTGCTGATCTCTAGATCACGGGGCTTTAAACCTATGCAATCTTGACATTTGGTAGACCTAATGAGTTCCACTAGAATCCTAATCTTTGAATTAAAGTCATCTAAGCCTGAGTGTCTATGTTAACAAAATTGGGAAATAACAACTTCCCCTCCACCAGGATTGTTTAAGTACGAAAATATGGTAACTTTGTGAAAAATTTTAAGAACAGCAATGTTTGTTAAAGTATTAGATTATTATGGTCATCAATCACACAGATATAATTTATATGTATGGTCATCAATAACACAGATACAATTTATATACCATTATAATAAATGTCAAGGATTTTTGGCAATAATAACAGCTCGCTGCAAGAAATATCTAATAAATATACAATGACCTAAGGCTTGGGAATATCATTGCTAGTTCAAAATATAGAATGCCTTCATTGTAATATATTTATAAAGCAACTTGACTTGCAAGTAATGTAACCAGGATTAACTCTCAGAAACCCTCAATTTATCAGCTTTAAACAATCAAGTTAAAAAGAAAAGTGGTAGGCACCACACATGACATTCAATCAATGAACAAGTGTTTGGAGGAATTACATCCTTCAACATACTGTGTATCCAGCTGTAGAAAAGATACTCCGGGCAGGATAATGGACAAGACAGCAGAACAGAGTTCTGCTTATGACTCAGTCATTACCTACCTGAGATGCCTCCTTAACAAGGTGCTTTACACTTCAGTTTCCTCACCTGTGAACTGCAAGTCTTACACTAGATCTGGGTTTCTTCAGCATATTTTGTGGAACTCTTTAAGGACTCAAGGACCATTCCAGAGGGCCAGAGCAGGGTTAGGAGACATCAGAACAGGTAGGACTCAGGGACCTTGGTGTAGGCTTCATTCTGATTACTACTTTGGGATAGTCCATACATTTTTGTTTGAAAATGGACTTCTTTTTTTGTTGTTGTTTGTATCACCAATAACTCAAACTTGTCATGTCCTAAACTGAACTCATCATTTTATTCTCTTCTCCATCAAACAATACCATTCCCCTCTCCCAGACTCCATCTATGGGGCCTCCAAGGTGAGAAGACTCACCATCATCCTAACTCCTCCCTTTTCCTTACCAGATCCTCCCCCCAACATCCAATCAACAACCACTCAGCCACCATGTCTTATCTAAAAGGAACCTAAGATACAGAAAGAAGAGACAGAAGCCTAAGGCTCTAGGACCTTTTACTGATCAAAGTCATAAAAATGGAAGTTACAATTATATTTGATGAAAATTCTGGAAACTAGTAATTAAGTACTTTGCTGTTTATCATTCCTCACAGTAAGATAAGGAGGAGAGAATTATAAGATAATTACATTCAATCAAAGAAAAAAAATGGAGGGCACTTTTGGAAAATCAGTGTATGTCTCTATGTTCTCTAATTCTTGATATGATTAGCTACAATTCCTCTTTTTAATGTTTACAACAGTATTCTAAGATAGTCAACTGTTAACCATAAATAATTTTGTTTGTTTGTTTATTGTTTATTTGGCTTCCAAGGACTATAATTTTTAAACTGGAAGTTTATAATGCACACAATGCTTCTCTGTATGGAAAATTAGCTTTATTCTCTTCATCATAGGGTATATTCATATGGGAAACTTTGTTTTCATAATCTACAGAAATATGTTATAAAGAGCTATAATCTATAGAACATATTTGTTGGAGGAAACAATTTTTTCACTATGAACGAATTAACCAACCATGGTGGTAATGAACTCACCTCTCTGCAAATAAATTTATGAGCCTTGTGATAACTAATCCTCCATTGTAATATGCTATGTACTTTCTCTTATTAAACAGAAAGCATTTTTCCTGACTCTGCCCTACAGCTGCAAAAAATAAAAATCCTCAGATCTTATCGAAAAAGTACACTGTTTGATTCTTCCTCAAGTTTGCACAGCAGCTTAAACATACACATGCCTTGTGGACAGAAGACTGTCTAATAAAGAATATAAACTTTCTGTCTTATTTTTTCATACTGTCCCCTTTATTTAGAATGCCCTTCCTCTGATGTTTATACCTGGCAAACTCCTATCAGCCATTAAATTGTGTGTGTGTGTGTGTGTGTGTGTGTTTGTTTTCCTTTCTCTCTCTCTCCAGGAAGAACATATTGATATTTCTCTCATGTTCACCTTTCAACTCTGGCACTTGGCAAATCATATATTATTTATTTATATGCCTTTTTATCAGACTAACACAGGGCTTTTATGAAAGATTCCAATCTGGCACTTGGCAAATCATATATTATTTATTTATATGCCTTTTTATCAGACTAACACAGGGCTTTTATGAAAGATTCCATGTCTTATCATCTTTGTAACCTCAGTGTAAAGTAGAGGAACTAGAGTATGACAGACATTCAGCCAATAGGTACTGAATTGAAGAAAGTTGGATAATTATGTTGAAGTTAAATTACAGAGAGCTTTGAATTTCAGACAGAAGAATTGACTTGGTGGGGTAGCCTTTGGGGAACTATTATTGAAATGAAAATTCTGTAGGATACTAACTAATCTCCCAAACACCTCCATTGGATCTAACCAGTTTGAGAAATAAACACAAGGTGACTGAAACAAGGTATCCTATTTATGTTCTAAGCACTAGGATCCTTGACAAAACTGGAATGGCTAATGCAGGGCAGATTTATGCCCCAAACTAGGCATGCTAGCCCTTCTCTAAATAGAATTTACCTACCCAGTCCTAAGAGGGGCGGAGAGAGAATTGTTGGAGGGTTGGAGGAAGTACAGACACAGCAAGAAATCTACACCCTAGTGTGTTTACCACATGAGAGAGAAAAAAAGAGATAAGAAAGGATGTCATTTACAGACACACAATGTTTAAGATAAGCAAGAGCCAAGAATTAGGGCTGTGCACGAAGGAACATTTAATATATTATTCCTGCTCGACAGAGAAATTTGGTCCAGTAGGTTTATCTGACTCTTTTCAATTAGGTTATTATTCCATAAAGAAGACTGAGTGATGGATGTTGTTTGCCTGACAACCTAGAAGGCGGAGGGAAAAATCTTCATGAAAAGAATAAAAGAGGAATAAGGGCTCCCTTCTGCTATTAGTACCATCACCCTGGCAGGAGAAACTTCTACAGTAGCACGGTCCAAAAATACTTTCTGCACTAATGATAAGTAATGTTTATTTCATGTCTATGCTGATCCATAATGCAGCCACTAAGCACATATAGCTACTGAGTAACTTAAGTGGCTAGATTGACCGAGAAATTAAATGCTTAACTTTCCTTAATTTTGATTAACTCAAATGTATACAGCCACATATGGCTAATAGTCGAATGCCATTGAACACTGCAGTTCTCCAAGAACCTTTAGGTTATTCTGACTATGGTAAGCAGAAACGAGTGAAGGCAGAGGCATTTAGCTTGGGGAATGGATTAGTAGGATCCACCAACCACTCGGCACTGCCTGTGTGCTGATCCGTTGTTCCTGTTGCTAATTGTTTAACATGGATTAACTAATGTAATCTTCACAACAACCCAGTGAAGTCAATGAGTTTATTACTTCCTTCTTTCACAGATAAGGAAACAGTGCCCGAGATCACAGTTGGCAAATGGCAGAAATGAGATACGAACCTTGGGAGTCTGGCATTGCCTGGAAGGGACACCACCTAGATTGTGGCAGTAATACAAATGCTGGGGGAGATAAAGAAGAGCTAAAGTCAAGATTTTGAAAGAATTAATAGGATACAGCAAATGAGAAAAAATGACAGGCCTAAAATCATATCATTGTCAATGACATTTCTCATTCTGTATTAGGCTCTCAGCGAGATTAAGGTGACATTATGGTCTATTGTCACATCTGAAAAATGCTTTGAGAACAAAGTCCTATTAGAGAACCAAGTCACTCTATCTCCAGAGGAGTAATAGATAATAATCTAATGATAGCACAATAGATAAGACTATTATAAACCAAAGAAAGAGAACATGGAAACAGTGCTCTGTGGAATTCACCATATGTAATGAGATCATTACCTAAAAGTATTTCAAGACTTAAAATAGCAATGTTTGTCTTCATTTATTAGGTAGAATTAGAGGATAAATCTCAAATTTGAAAATGAAAGAGAACCCTAGACAAGATCTTCTCCAATTCCTTCATTTAACAGGTAAAAAGATTGCTAAAAAAGAAATTTTTGAGACAGCTTGATCTCAGACTGGGCATTAGATAAAAATAAGAAATCGTTGGTAATTTTAATATGTACTAAAGTGGTATTGCTAATGTGCTTTTTTTAAGTTATATTTATTACAGTTACTGAAATTTTTATAGATGAAATAATATGATGTCTAGAATGGGGACATGAATTTATGAGGTGCTGGGGAAGTAATATTTGAAATAATGTTGGTAAAATATTGATAATTGATTAAGCCATTTGTTAGAAATATGGGGAGTCATTAAAAGGTCTACTTCTGTGCATGTTTGAAAATTCCATAATAATGTTTTTAATTATAACCTGAAAAGCTGTGAAGAGATGGTTTAAAAATGATACATAAACATAAGAAAAAATATTCAACTTAAATAGAAATGCTAAGATACCACCTAGGGCCTACCTGGTTGGCAAATACTAAAAACTTGGGAATCCAGTCTTTTGGCAGGACTATGGGAAATAGACACTCTTATACATTGCTGATGGTACCACAGGTTAAACTGTTCTCCAAAAAGTATGTTCAAATCCTAAACATCACCCCACAACCCTATGCTTGCAAATGTGATCTTATTTGGAAACAGGGACTTTGCAGGTGTACATAAGTAAAGAAGAGGTCATACTGTCCTTCTAAGAGGGAAACTTGGACACAGGCACACACACATGGAGGAAAGCACAGCATGTGAGACAAAAGCAGAGGTTGGAGTGTAACAACAAGCCGAGGAATACCAAGGACTGCCAGCAACCACCAGGACCTAGAGCAAGAAAAGGAGGGATCCCCTCTTACAGTCTTCAGAGACAGAATGACCCTGCTTTCACCTTGGTTTAAGACTTCTCAAAAATTAGTGGGGAACTCCTGGGATGGTTGAGTGAGGAGCTCCACAGACTCACTGCCCAGCAAAACCAAGTAACAGCAGTGTCTGGAAATTGTCCTAAGGGTACACAGCAAACAAAGAAATATTTATTTAAGAAAAACTATGATAACTTGGTAAAAATTGGGAGAGTCTGGGGCATTTAAAGTATGACCTGCTCCCTCTCTTCCTCCCAAGCCCCAGTCCAGCTTGACACTCACAGTGGGCATGGCCAAGGATGCAGGGTTCCCTCGCCCTCAGCTAAAATCAAGACAGAATATCTCACCCATTCTTGGTCATCAGTATTTCCCAGTCCCTCCAACTCTTAATTTAGTGAAAGAAGCTAAATTCCCAGTGAATGCAGCCAAAAGGTCAATAGATTCTCTCCTCAACCCAGCATCCAGGACAGAGAGACCCCACATGCAGCAGGCCAAGAATACAAGGTCCCCAGTGACCCTCCCATCAGCTTATTCCAGGTTCCAAATCAGGGGAAGCAAGCCGACGTCAGAAGCTAATGCCCCATGTAGTTCCCAAAATAGTGACTCAAGATTTTACCCAAAGGGAGAGACAATCCGTAAGAACATAGCTTTCTAAAATTCTCCCCAAAGGAATTGACTTTATTTGAAACAGAGAAGTTCAAGCCTCAGAATGCTCTCAAAAATAATAGCTCCCCTTAATTAAGAGCAACAAACTATAGGCCAGCTAGTTCACCAGAGAGAAACAGCAAAAAGCTAAGAGCTCTCCAGAGGTCAGAATAAACCTCAGAGATGGGCCTCAAAAACTACCCTGCTCAAATTTAATTGGATCAGAGTGTGGAGCAATTTATGCCCCAGGGCATTGTCTAAAAGAATACAGCAATCATCTGGCAATTAGTGCGGCCCAGTAGCTGGCTGTGATAACAAATGAGGCCAGCAGCTTAACAGAGAGATCAGGAAATCAGCCTCAGATTGACTGCGTACACACCCAAGGCTGCACTCCTTGAGGGGCAAACCAAAAGCGTCCCACTTCGGAGAATTTGTGACTCACCAAAATAGTACAGCCAGGTAGTTAAACAAATAAACAAGCAAACAACAAAAACAAGACCCAGAGGCAGTGGACAGTCAATAACTAGAGTTGTTCAGTTTCAACAAAAATTCTGAGACATGCAAAGAAACAGGAAACAGTGACCCATACACAGGAGGAATAAGCAGGCAACAAAAACAGTCTGTAGAAGGCTCAGATATCAAATTTAACCAAGGCATCAAAGTTGCCTTTGTAAATATGTTTGAAGAACAAAAGGCAGTTATACTTCAAGCTGTAAAGGAAGCTATGATGAAAATATACTGTTAAATAGCTCAATAAAGAGATAGAAATTATTTTTAAAAATTAAAAGTACCAAATGCAAATTTTGGCATTAAAGATATAATACTGTCATTGAAATGAAAAGTTCATTAAAGGGGCTCAACAGTAGATATGAATGGCAGAAGAAAGAATCAGAAAACCTGAAGATAGATTGATAGAGAATATACAATTTAAAGACAGAGAAAAAAGAATGAAGAAAAATGGACAGAGTTCATGATAAAAATACTCAATAAACAAGGAATAGAAGTAAACTACACCAACGTAATAAAGGCTATCTATGAAAATCTCACAGCTAACATCATACTGAACAGTCAAAGACTGAAATCTTTTCTTCTAAGATCAGAACAAGACAAGGATGCCAGCTTTTCACACCTATAATGTAGTGGAAGTCCTAGCTAGAGCAATTACCAAATAAAAGAAATAAAAGGCATCCAAATTGGAAAGGATGAACTGAAATCATCTCTGTTCACAGATAACATGATCTTATATGTAGAAAACCCTAAATGTTCCACAAAAAATCAGCTGTGTTTCTATACAGTAACAATGAACCACCCAAAAAGGGAATTAAGAAAACTGTTCTATTTACAATGGCATCAAAAAGAATAAATTTGGGAATAAACTTAACCAAGGAGGTGAAAGACTTGTATGCTGGAAACTACACATCACTGCTGAAAGAAGATATAGAAGACACAGATGGAAAGGTATCCCATGCTCATGGACTGGATACCTTACATTGTTAAGATGTCAGTACTACCCAAAGCTATCTACAGAATTAATGCAATCCTCATCAAAATCCCAGTGGTCTTTTTTTTTTTTTGCAGAAATAGAAAAATCCATCCTAAAATTCATATGAGATCACAAGGGACCTCATATAGCCAAAATAATCTTGAAAAAGAGCAAAGTTGGTGGTCTCACAATTCCTGATTTCAAAATTTATCACAAAGCTGCAGCAACCATGTTATTGCCATAAAGATAGAAATAGAGAACAATGGAGAGCCCAGAAAGAAACCCTCATATACACAGTCAAGTGACTTTTGACAAAGGAGGAGAACCATTCAATGGAGAAAGGAGACTCTTTTTCAACAAATGATGCCAAAGAAACTAAATATCCACACACAAAAGAATGAAATTGAGCCCTTACTTTACACCATATGTAAAACTTATCTGAAAATGGATCAAAGACCTATTACTAAATGTAAGACCTAAAACTCTGAGAAGGAAACACAAGGGGAAAAACTTCATAACATTAGATCTGGCAATGATTTCTTGGATATGACAACAAAAGCACAGGCAACAAATGCAAAAGCAGGTAAACTGGAACACATAAAAATTAAAAATAACTGTGTATCAAAGGACAAAATCAACAAGTGAAAGGGCAACCCACACAACAGGAAAAAAAATTTTCAAATCCTGTACCTGATAAGGGGTTCCTACCACTATGCAGAAAGAACTCCTACAACAGGCAACCCAGTTCAGTGCTGGACAGACTTGAATAGACACTTCTCCAAAGGTGAGATACCAATAGCCAACATGAATGTGAAAAGAATTTTAACATCTCTCATTACGGAAAAGCAAATCAAAACCACAATGAGATACCACACCACACCCATTAGAATAGCTACTGTCAAAACACACACACACAGAGAAAATAGTGTGTGTTACTGACAGATTTGAAGGGACAAATAGACAATTTAGCAGTAAGAGAGACTTCCAGACTCCACTTTCAATCATGGATAGAATATCACAATTTGTAAGCATCAATTTAATAACTGAATCAAGAAAGGATCATTCATGGATAATAAGCCATTGGATGAAATATGTTGGACAATGATTTACTTACATGATCTCAAAGACTGATCCCTATATTAATTATTAACTATCAAAGGGGAAAAAAGTACCTTTTATACAAAAATCTGGTGAACACCACCTCAACCAACTGGTCACACTTAAAAACACCACTGAGACAAACTATTATCATGTGCCTCCTAATGAGATGCAATAAGAAATACGTAATGTCATCTATGTAGTATCTTTGCCCAAAAAGTGATTAGCTTGAATTTACTATTCAGAAAATAGTCAGATTAATTTCAAATTGAAATACTCCACAAAATTACTGGCTTACACTCTTCAAAATTATCAATATTATAAAAGACAAAATACTATTCTAGATTAAAAGAAATGAAAGAGACATGACAACTAAATGCAACATATGATTCCTGTTTAGATTCTAGATAAGTAGGAAAAATCAAGGACATATTTAGAACAGTTGGAAATACTTGAATATAGGTAATACTTCTATATCAATGTTAAATATCTTGACAGATAAGGTAGGTAGTTGTAGAATGTTTTTGGGTGATACATGCCAGCATATGTAGGCATGTTATGTCATTTCTGCACTTATTTTCAAATGGTTGAGAAAAATAATTGTAAACACACATAAATACATATGTATATAAATGATATATAGAGAAATGGAACAAATATGACAAAGTTATCTACTGGTGAAGCTAGAGGATTATATGAGGGTTTGTTGTATTTTTCTGACAAATACAGAAAAACACATCTGAAATTTTTCAATAAAGTAAGAAAGGGAGAGAAGAGGAAATGAAAGTTTAGAAAAGTAGTGACTTTCCCTGAGACTCCAGTGTAAGGGGCAGTGTTAGAATAAATCCTTCTGCCTTCCAGCCCATAAATGCAGCTGCTGTATCACTAAGCTCCCTAAACACCGACATTTTACCTGCTACGGTTCTTTTTACCTGCTATGGTGTGCTC